TGTATAGTCAATAATACTTATCAGAAATTCATAAATCATCTCATAATCATAGATATGAATAAATTGTTTCGATTGAGTGTATATAGAAGACGCATACTGCTATTGAACAAAACCATATCTTTATTTTTTTTCCGTGTACGGAACAAACGGGATTTTTCGGGATAATTCGGAAAAATTCGGGACATAGAAAAGTTTGTCCCGCATGTCTCTATGTACGGCTCTGTATAAGAGGTCAAAGTGTAGTACTATACTTTTCTATGTCTGTCCTATTCTGACTATACTAGAGCAAAAATACCATTGCTCTACTAATTGACAACTACTAATGAGACCATTTCGTTGCATTAAATACTGAAGGTATTGTTATTCCTAACGCGCTTTTCTCTGTTACTAATAAAATGTATCTAATGATCTTTGATTTCACTACTCCCCTACTAGATTACTAGAGCCTATGATAAAGTCGCACAAAAGACAAAATATACATTTCATAAACAAAACTCTTACCTATTGAAAAGGTTTTATTTTTTAAATACCGTACTGACAACAAATTTCGTAACACTTGGAAAAATAGTTTTCAAAATTTTACAATAGAATTAATTTAAACTTGATACACTACGACTCTAGTGAATGCACAGCATTCAACAAAAAGTCTTCAGCGGGCAAAAAAGTTCCAGGACACTTTTTACTCCTTTTATTAAATCACGCTTTTTTGTCAAACATTACATAGCACCATTGAAAAGAGCATAAGAAATTGACTGCAATTGTTTTTCTTTTAGTTTGAAAATCATAGGGCATACGTACATGTAAAAGCTCTTATCCAGAAAATACGTATTCTCGATGATTTCAAAACTAAAACAGTATTAATTATACTCAGCTTTTTTATGCTGTTTCTGATGGTGCGATCTAAAGTTAAAAAAAGAAAAGCGACATTATAGAAAATGTTGAAAGTGTCACGCAACTTTTTGCTACCACTGTATATTGTATTTAATTGCGTAGAAAATAGTAAAAACCTAAAGCCCATACTAATAGTACTGAAAAATCTAACAATGTTCATAGTACTGCTTGAGAGAATGATTAACTACCTATGTAGAATAATCTTCTATTATTTCAACTAATTTATTACAATCAAAAGAGAGAGTTAAATTATCTATAGAAGTTTATGTCCAATTTGTATTTGTGTTGCGATCGAAGATAATTTAAATAAAATTCAATCAAATGATTAAGTACAAGAATAAAATATCAGGTGTGTTTATGTTTATTATTATCAATGTAAAGTTACAATAAACATTTATTTATTGTACGATTTTTAAATGATTACTTGTCAAGAGATAAATCAGATCCGTGGTAAATATAATACTTTCCAAAACGAATGATTTTCTTAATAGATTTGATCCAAATTCGATAGAATCCTATCAAAAGTTCTAAGGATTCAACTAAGATAGTTAAATCTGTCAATAGTAAATGTAGCCATCGGTCATATACGACTAGTCAGTATGAGTACCCGATAAAACCTATGTGCACAGATGATTTTCGTGTACTGTGACAAGTACTGACATGAGTTTTTTCTTTAAAGATTTACTCTCAAAAGAAAATATCAGTCATCAATCTATTACTCATTTTCATTTACTTCACAGAGTATTTCGTAAAATATTGATGTAATAGTAATTAAAAATTAATGATTGAAAACAATTATGATTGCTATCAAGTATGATAATTATAGTGATATACGCCTACAGTTGTTCGTTTGATCATGACTGACTCATTTCCTTTTTTTTTTTATCTAGCATTGGAATTTTCTTTGCTAATTATTTTTTCAAAAAGTGATCTCACCCTGAAAGAGTTAGAGAATTGTGATACTTTGAAGAAAAAAAACTTTTTATTTCATTATCTAAATTTTCGATATGAAAGTACATCAATCAGTGATTTATACAGCAAGAGAAACGAGAGATATCTATTCGAAAATCAGATTGATTGATTCTTTCAATATTTTGTAGTTATTGCATCATCATATGCCGTATGTTTATTCTCGTAAATATAGATGTTCGTCTTCTCGAAGTTTTAAATCGCCCATGCGAAAGAAAAATTCTGAAATATAAAAACTACTGTCTATCTGTAGCACAATACAATTTTATAGATTGAACATGAAAAATAATAAAACAAGAAAACGATTGCAATTGTAAATAATGAAGAGTTATACATAATACTATATACATATAATTGATGTTTTTCAATTGTTAAATGACAAAATATCTATTTATTTTTTTTCAATTTTCGTTTGATACATAGTGGGTTTTTTTTATTGTTATTTCATATTTAAATAAAAAAGATATTGTACAGTACAAAATACAACCGTACAAATTATTTTACATGTATCAATAGAATACGAAATACTTGATGCTAGTACTTACATCTTCTCATTCTATATTGAAGTAGTAAGTTTTTTTTTCTTATTGGTCATTGAATCAATTGAAGCCTACGACGTACCTTTCCTTTCGTACTGTATATAGAATTAAAGTGTCATTACAATCAATGTGATTATAAAAAAGAAATTCTTTAATTAATTGAAAACAAATTTAGAAAAGAAACAACTTTTAAGATTAATATTTTTGAAAAAAATCTAATAGTTGCATATTTTCGTATTTGATGAGTGACTATGACGACATACTTCTTTAGTCTTTCTCAGTCTGGGAATATTCTAAGTAATGAAAAATCTTTATATACACTATACTCAAAGTAGGTTCTTCCCAAATTAAATCATTTTTCTATTGCATCAGCCAAATCACACATTTTAAATGATTTCATCCAGTCAAATAATTAATACATATATTAATTGTGGCGCTTTTAAACGAGATACAACAAGTTTAAATAATCAATCAAATATTGATGAAATTCATGGACAAATACGTTTCCTATTTGGTTCTCATTTACCTAATTCATATTTTCTTACATTTTACAATATTAAATCGAAAAAATTCATTAAACTTAATCAAAATATATTAGACTATGGATTAAATCCATTTCAGTTGAAATCATCTATTAATGATCGAAATATTGAAAATATGTTCGATTTTGTGGAACTATATGTTATTGATACAACAGAAGACAATTCTGACTATGATACACAATCTGGTATAGATAAATTTTAAGATTAATTAAAAATAATATAGAAATAATTCTTTTTTTCCCAGGAGTCCAATGTAATGAAACAGACTCTAGTATTTCAAGTGATTCATCAATTTCAATGAATAAAGAGACACTATCTCAGCAAGGTAATATTTTGTATTAAAGAAAAATTAATTAAAGCAATTTTTTCTCTATAGATTTACCTATAGATGATAATACAACAAATAATAATGATTGTCATGAAAAAGATTTATTCAATGCATTGCTTAACAAAGAACCAGATGATATAAGTAAGCTTTACTTCTTTTTTGTGTACTCAAAAAATGAGTACACTCTAGAATCGGTCAGTGTGTTCGGCCAGCCGTTTACACGATAACTTTTGAAAGAAAAGTCAGATTGCGATGAAATTTTTTGCACAGTTTAGTTTCAACAATATCTCAGTCGAGCTCGAACATGAGAATGATTGGCCCAGCCGTTCCTGAGTTATTGCAAAAATAGAACCAATTTCCTTTTAATTATCTTTGCATTAGGTGGGTTAGCCTTCCTATTTCTTTATTGGTTCCGTTTTTGTCCACGCTCTGATTGATTCACAATTAGAGCTCTATCTTTCGATCACAGAGATGGTACTTCGAGGTTTTCTGGGGCAGAGAACTCGAATCTGTACTGGACTTGCCTCGAAGTACTATTGGCTGGGCATGAACCAATAGAAATCAAGGCGAAGAATTCAAATCTGAGCTGTATTCACCCATAAACCCTATTGGTTGAGCAGTAGCCAATAGAATTCAAGTGTTTACAGAAAAGGTTTGCCAGGATAATTTTGATGTTCACACATTCTAGGATGACTCAATTGTCTAATTCACTTTTTGAAGTATACATAACTCTCGAATTTAAATCCGAGGTTTCCACATTTATTTTCTCATAAAATAACAAAATATCAAATGAAATTATTTATTAATTATAGATCAGCTTCTTGGTACAACATGTACAAATGATAATAATATTAATAGTAATGATTTATTAAATGCATATCCTAATGAAAATCAATCTGATTCTAGTACGATTGAATGTTTATTTTTACATTAAAATTTAGAAATTTTATTTTCAATAGATTTTTCTTCAAATGATTTAATGTCAGATAATGATTTATTCGATGCATTACTTTCTGAAAAACAATCAGATCAAAGTAAGATTTTACATCTATATATATATTGACTATCAAAATAAATATATTGAATTTGTTTCTCTGTTTTTTTTTTAGATTCATCTGTTAATAATGACTCACCGGAACCTATTGAAAGTAACATATTGAAGATAAATACTTGTATCGTTAGGTTATATAATTGTATTTTAATTATTTATTGTTTATAGTTGGAGATTCAATGCCTTTACAAAATAATTCTTCATATTCAATTCAAAATTCAAATACATTTCAAAATCCAACACAATTAAATGAACAAACAATTGTAGAACCTAATTGTTTACATTTTTCACTTGATGTGAAATCCGAACAAAAGGATATTTATAAATCCGATCAATTCAGTCAAAAAGAAGAAACAAAACCTAATGGTTATATTACTCGTATACAAGGTATTAAAACACCTGAACAAAAAATGCGTTCAATATGGCCAATGGTTCGCGTAAGTGATTTCACCTTAGATTTTCACGATGAAACTACTTTTCTCTTTTATATTACCCAATTCTATGCACTAAAATAAAATTTATCACTATCAGAATATGTCTGAGTCTATTAACTAAACATTGATACATCATTCTGTTTTGTGTATGCAACTGCATATAATCGTTACGATTGAGCAGATTGAACTCATACATTTTCGTATATATTTTTTTCTAGATTATTTTGCGATTAGTCATGTACAAATAAGAATTAATCAATTACAAATCATTCCAGAAAATTTATGAAAGTGTATAATGTTATATTTTTGTTTTATAGATCTAATGTAAGTGAAATCTAAAGTAAATTTCTGTGAGATAGTATTTCAGTTTTTTGAAAGTCAAGTAAAATAATGAAAAGCGAAGCCTCACTGATTGCTAAGATATTCTCGCATGTTCTAATGATATCGATATTGTTAATTCAATTTTTCCTACAAATCTTAACTGTTGTTTACTTATATACTTCTAACAGTCATACCTTTACTCTTCACCATGTGCACTAGTTTTAACAATTGGAATATAAGAATTCGTACCAGATACCGTTATTATTTTTCTGAATTTCGAGTGTCCATACTATGAAGGAGTGAAGTTGCTAGTGAAAAAATCGCTTACGTTTTTTTAGACTAAAAGAAGTCACCTAAGTATTCTATCATTTGAGACTAGGTGTATGATTACAATGCTTGAAATATTCGAAGGCAATGTTTCTAAGTGCCAAACTGCTTTTTACTCGGGATTACGTGCATTATGAAAGTCCTAATGATATATAAATACCTTGAAAAGAGTTCGGGTTAATAGCTTATTGCTATCAAGATACTGTATTTTTTATCATAATTTTTAGCACAGTGTTGAGACTAGTTTATTGTAAAAACTTGAAATATTTTGATTGCTTCCATCCTAAGATACGGCTAGGATAAAAACGTGCTTTTTACGCTGTTCATATACAAAAGCGAACTCCGATATTCTTATTTCAGAATAGACAAAATCTGAAATTTTCACAATAAGCTATTCGTGTTAAAGCCTGCATCTGTGTAAAGTTTCAAGTCAAAATTTCGAAACTCACGATGGAAGGTCCCCAACTGTCCAATCGCTTTTGAGTTCGGACCCTGTGCATAAGGTAAACCCCAGTGAAGTATGAAAAACTCCAAAAGGATAACGGCCCTTAGGCCTTCTGTTCCGAGTTACAGGGATTTTACTGGAATTACAGCCTATGACATGGTATTTACCAAAATATCGAATGACGATATTTCAGGTTGATATTTTGCCCATAGACAGGTCTGGTTGTGAATAGAATGTCCCGAAG